TTAATAGGGGAGACTATTGGGGAGTGTACGACTCAATTATAAATACACAATCAATTATCAAGTATTTGAACTCAATATGTCAAGTCTCTCTGTGGCATCGCCAATCTTATTGAGAAACACAAACAAACATTTTTTGGTAAATATTTTATTTACTAAAAGATCATAGAAAGCCACCACTATTTACAAACATCTACCCATGGAAGAGAATACACCTGTACTATACCATTCTTCTAATTGGTTAGCCTCACTCTTAATTCAGGTTATATCTAAGTGCCTCAAATGTTTCAGTGTTTTCAGTGTCAAGGTAACTAGCTTGAACAGAGCACTAGAGTTTATAAACATCATCATTCAATGCATTCTGTTCAACTATTCTGCCTATTAAATACTAGTACATGTAGTTAAATTTTAATTAATATTACAACTTAGAATTAAAGCTGGTAGTGAATCTGATCATAATGTAAGCCCAATATGCTTTATCAGAGCCAATACCTATTTCAAGAGTTGTAAACAAGGCATAGACTTTTAACCACCTGGAGTCCGTTTTTGCACCATTCGTATTAACAAACATAAGCAATTCATAAATATTCATATGAATGAGTTACGAATTTGTAAAGTTGCAAATGGACCATTTTTGTACGCTTTCATAAGTCATTCGTAATTTCTGTTAGCTAGATTTACAAAAGGGTTGATGTCACATTCCACCATTGTCAGGATAGATAGTCATACAATAAAAACTTTGTAAAAGAAGCAAAGATTCCATGAGATACTGAAATAGGTTGATATTAAGTTGATCACAGTGTTGCCCTTTGTGTTCTCTGATTTAGAATGACAAACAACACAAATCACAATATAAATGAATAAATAAAAAGAAGCCATTCGCAAAGTTACGAAAGGGTCAGAGGTGCTATTAAATCTACGAATGAAAGCAACCATGATGTCACTATTTTCGTAATTTCATGAATCGTTCATACCTTTGCGATAAATGACTTTCAAACATTCCTAACTACGAACAGTACAAAAACAAGCCCCTGGTAGCAATTTTAAAAGAGTAACAATTTGTCACAGATATTGAAAAATAGTGGCTATAATAATACATGTATGTAAATGGGCTTACAATAAACCTTCTCAACACCAACAATCACAGACAGCTAAATATGGTTAGATAAAGGAACATGCAACATGTTCTACTACTATAATTATGGTGACAAATATTATTGTTCCTCAATTCCCTTTCAATTGTAATAACTTTCACATTGATTTTAATTCATGGTTTCTTTTACACTTCTACAATTCCAAGTAAAACACTACAACAAATAAAAGCACATTGATTCTGAAACACAAATTTTAAATGTTATTTTTTAAGAACATATTCTTAAGTTCATCTGACATTACATTTCTGCACCACATATTAGTAGTGACCAAACCTCAGAAAATCCAAAAATATGTTTTGTTGCAGAACCCTAATTTTTATTACTCAGAAGTTTTAGGATTGATATTGCTCTACTGACTCCTGTTTTTTTAAAGCAAATCGCTTGAAGCTTTAAAGTTATAGAGGAATTCAGCAAGGGGTAATTTTCAAGAATCATTTAAAAATATTTTTAAAAGAAGTCAATACACAGACTACATAATTATTTCACAAAAAATATCATTAAAGAACCTTACAATGTCAGAAAAATATAGTTTGTCTAATGTTGTAATCATCCGATAAGATAATAAACTCTATTATTAGTGTTTGGCATCACATTTTTTAGTGGTAAACATCAAAATCAATTCTTATCTAGAAAATAATAAATAAGGCCAAATTTTGTCTTTTTGTTGTTCAAAGAACTAAACTAATTATTGTTAAAATTGTTTTACCTTTGGAGAAATTGTTCAAAAACATATATTTAGATAAAAAATATGTCAGTTACAAAATATTTTTTTAAAGAAATACTCAAACTCTCTTGATGTGTCTATCTCTAAACATATTCCAGGTATACATTTGCATGGTGCTCTGCATTTCTAAAAGTCAAAAGTGATTCACTGGGGTAGATTTCTTTGAAACAAAAGAATTATAAACAAAATAAAAATAAGAAATAAACCCTTGCTTACATTGTCAATAACTATAAAAATAAATCAAGGACTCTATATCACTGTTTCAAAGTTTTAAAAACAGGGTTTCTGCAACAGGACATAAAATCTAAATGGAGTCTCTTTAAAAATGTTGGTTGACACTATATGTGTGTAATAATATATATAGGTTATTTTGAACGCAGTCAGTAATAACTTACAATAGAGAGGTGTGCTGAAGCTAACTTTTACATCTAAGCTATAAACACAAAACATTAATACTGTATCACGGTGTGATACTCAAAAGGCATGCCTACTAGGCATACCGTTTGAAACACTGACAAATTAAAATTGAAAATGGCGCCAGAGTATCATCATCTAAAATGTACCATTTCTTTATTAATTTTTAAATGGTACGATATAGTGACGTGGTAATATTTATATATGTTTTCAGCATAACTCTGAAGGTATTAATGAGATCTAGATGTATTGGGTCCAGCTTGATGGCTTGATGGAGCAATTTTGTATTTCACATTTGAAACTGCTCCATCAAGATGGACAAAAAAATTAAACATTATTTTTATAAAAAAATTAAAAAGACCCAATATGCAGGGTGTTCCAAAAGTAACAGGACTGGTGCTGGTTTTTTGTTAAATATGCACCAATCATCTTCAACAGTTTACATGATGTACTTCTATGCATGGTAACTAACACTCCAAAGTTTTGGCAAAAATTATGAAACTCGGTTAGAGTTATGGTTGCTATGGTAATGAGACATCACAATACCCGGGACAACATTCCAAACAGAAAGCTACTGAGACTTTAAGCATTTTGTACACCCCACATCAAAGTTAAAATCCAACAACTGGTGGGAATTACATTTGCTAATTACATCATTTGATATTCCTATGTATCCTCTACTTTGAAAAGTAGGCTCCTCTTTGGTCAGTCCAAGAGTAGTACTCCCTATCCATGACTCAAACATATGAGTGAACCCATTTTCGGGCGTGTCACGCAGGGTCCATCGGACACCTTGGAGATGGGCATTCTCATCTTTAAAGGTCTTACCATGCTGATTAACATTCCATTCTCAAGTAAAGTAAAGTAAAATTAGATATTGCATGATCAGAAGAATATGGTGCATGATCTTAAGTCCTCAAGACCTGTCTCCTCAATAGCTGCAGTGGTCTTTAATGCTGACTCGCAGGCAGGCACATTATCAAGGTGGATAACTGGCTTTAAATTGGGTCTTTTCAAAAGCTAAACCGTGAATTGTGCAGACTGTCATACATAGTGAAATTCCAATAAATTGAATAAATATTATTATTATGAAATCATATTTGAATCTGAGTTGTATAGCAACACCATTACTACAAAGCAACTAATAAAACAAACAAGAAATGTTGTATTGTAATAGATAAATCAGATCTTTCTTCAGTAAAACCAAAATGTTAGATATTAAATTTTCATGAAAAAGTTGCCCCTGGTATTGTGATGTCATGTTAGTATAGCAACCATAACTCTACCCGCATTTAATAATTTTTTCTGAAACTTTAGAATTTTAGTTGCACTACTTCAAAGTACAATTTGTGAAAATTTGAACACACTCAGTTCAGAATTAACAAAACACCAACACCAGTCCTGTTACTTTTGGAACACCCTGTATTAGATCTCATTAATACCTTCAGAGTTATGCTAAAAACATATATAAATATTATCATGTCACTATAATCGTGCCATTTAAAAGTAAAACAAGAAATGGTACATTTCAGAGTATGATACGCTGGCACCTTTTTCAATAGCTTTTACTCCTAGCATTATTGAACTTCAAACAGAAGTGTAGGTTATCCACAAATGATATACTCATTGCATCGAGCAAGGGCGAACGTAATACCCGGAATGGTTGCAAATTGGCATCAGTTTTTTACTGCATCGGATTTGAATAAGCCAATTAAACATGGTCATGAACACATTAGCAGAAAACACAATCGCCATTTAAATTACATTTCCCTGTTTATTCTGTTCGTATCAATCCTTTTTTACATGTCATATATTTAAGATAATCAATTACGTAGCTAATGATGTGAACGGATTGCAATGCCATAGAGTGAAATAACCGCAAAACGGTACAGAAAAAGGTACCTAGGTCTGAGAAAACCTACCCCTCAATACACCATTGTCTAATGAAGACCAAACAAAGCCCTGGATGTCGTGTCATTTCGTTTGGTACACAACTAAGCCCCGGGTATTAAATAAGCCCTTGCATGGAGTAGTTAATTCTCTTTGGTATAACAAAACATATGAGTTAAAAAATAATTTGTGAAGTTTTCTAAGTGTTTTTATGAAAAATAGCATGCTCCATCAAGCTGGACAAATTTTTCGATGACAACACATGAGTATAGACGTCTTAAAATAACATTGAAAAACACAGACTCCAACTTAAATGATGCAATATTGCAAGGCGTGCAGTTTGTGGTCAAAACAAAGTACAGTACACCACTTGAGTACCGCCCATATGTATGATTATCGAAAAAGCACTCTTAAACCCTTGGCCCCTTCACTATATGCTTTTTACAAATTAATATACATGTAAAAGTGTCTTTCATGTTAATCGTGAATTCTGATTTCTCTTTTATGTGATATTGATTCTTAAGAAAAAACCAAAATGTTCCTTTATGGTGATAAATATGGGATCTTTGTATATCACTACATTTTACCTAGAAATATTCTACCATATCACATTAGAAGCCAAGGCAGCAAATATTTTCAATGCCAGATCTGGAATGACTGCCATAAAAAGCTCCTTCAAACTAAGTTGATATCATGTTTATGATTTACTGGACAAACATGTAAGATCTATGAAGGAGTTCATTATGGCAATGAGGATTAGACAGGCTGATATGAATATTAGTACATTGTACTTTATCATAAACTTTTCATTATTTCAATCTCTATTTTATGTCATTCCTATGTCTTATTGCTTCCATCATGTTTGGTTTTTCATCACCGTTATCACGATCTTCATTATTTTTAACATCAGCTAGTTTATTATGTGGTACTTCTATAACTGGTTGCTGAGCAACATCCACAGCAGCCTTTTTAGTATCATCATCACCTTTAACATTTTCTTGTTCATTTTCATTTACTGGTCTATCTATTTGATTTAAAGCATCATCTTTCTGCACAGACTCAGCTTGATCCATTACTTTGTCATTGTCCTTTACATCTGGGGGATTTCCTGCAGGATCAAGAACTTCATTAATATGTGCTAGTTTTGGTCCCTCATTCTTATCATACCCTTCTCCTCCACCATGTAAATCTAAGTTAGGTGCTTTGGCTTGTGGTATACCAACACCATCCTGTGATTCAAGATTAGAGGCCCTGTGTTGTCGAAGGAGACCATTCCCATGACCACCACCATTCTCTTGTAGCAACTCTCTACTTGTAGACTTCTTTACCTCTAACTGCCTACCTTGTTTTTCCTATAACAGGTGCTACCTTGTTATGTTTGTATGTACAGAATGTATGATTAAAGCCAAAAAAATAGTCTTTAGGGTTGTCTTGAGATTAAACTTCCACCATATTATGCTTCCTAAATCCTAATACTAATGTGGGATAATGCATAGTATACTTGTTCGCTGAATGGTATTGTCAAGCACTTTGGAAGTGGATAATGTGTAGTTTGACACACAAAGAATTATTGTCTAGGTACTACATGTACTAGGGTTGAATAAATAGTCTAAATATGATTAAGTTTTGCCCCGTGCAGAATGGATTAAAAGTATGTGTCTTATCTAAAATAATTAAGTTGATTTGAAGATAATTTCAATTCATTCATTCAAGGTACACAGCAATGCCGATGGCCCAAAAGTCCCCTCCAACAAACAAAGTGTTGTAACCAGTTGAACTTTGTGGTCCAATAAAGGTCACCATCTGACATGAAAGTGCTGCCCTCACTTTGTGTTTGCAACACATAGATGAAAACAGTTGGAGTGGAGATAAGTGGGATTTAGGTCAGCTGTGGGTTTTAATGAGAGAAAATCAAAATAAAGATTTAATCATCATTAGACCTTATGGTATTCTTTCCTTATTCCGCCACATTTTAAAACTTAATGGGATGAACATGTGATATGAGCAAGACAAGAATGGGATATATGTTTCCTAGTATAAATATTCTGAATGCTTAAAAGCAACCGTTTATGGTTCCCAGGTGTGCAATCGATAAAGGAAAGCATGTATTCAGGGTGTTTCTGTTAAAAATCCAAATCATATCATGTTCTTAGGGATTCTATATTTGATGTCATTAATATGATACTGCAATTATCATACTGAATTACAGTTTAGAATTCAGTTCAACAAAGCCTTTTGTAACCATCATGCAAATCATAATCAAAGAACTATTAATCGATGAGAAAATTATAAGATAGGTAAGAAAACATATACATGAGTATATGAGCAGTATTAGAGTGCAACCTACTGTTAAATCAGAAATAAATACATGCACTACTTAAGGTGAAGCCGAAAACATGCAAGTTAACACTTTCAACAAAGCATGAATTCAGAAGTCATGTCATGACCTGATTTTATACATTTATCATATTTAAATTAAAATCACCACTACAAGCTATTTATCATGTTATATGATATATTCTAATATGATACGTTTACGTCACAATAACTAGAACAATAAATTCACCGGTCTATATTGGAGTATGCATGACCGCTTTATTTCATAAATGCAAATATATGTTTTTCTTGTCTGTTTATCATATTAGAATCGTAAAACAAAGACCTCAATTTATGATTCATGTCAAACATATGACCTCAAATTTCATTGTGGCCATTGCCAAAGACATTAATCGCTACACGGTTTCGGTCTTTTAACAATGAACAGAATAAAATTTTCGGTCATATATTACGCCATAAATCATAAAATCTCGGTCTTTATTCCTTAATTACAAATGTGTATTGAATTAATCACATCCTAAATAAAGTTAAATATCTTAACAACAATGTACTATTTAAAATCACAAGGTGCTATGAAAGTAAGCCCTTTGAGTCAATACCAGGTCAAGTCATCCTAAGTCAAGTCAATCCTAGGTCAACTAAACACAAAGTCGACACACAGAATGTCAAGAAAACCCTAGATGAAAAACCCCAAGAAAAGTAATCTAGCAATCTCCAGTTCTCATCAATCCAAAATCAAAGTATGATAAATTAATAGTATGAGATAAATATAATTCAATCTAATGAATGGGCAAATATCCAAAAATCTCATGAATAAATAGAGTTTCATATCATATAAAAATCAGAATTATTGCTTCATCTATACAAGTGAACTTTTGAGTAGGTCTAGTCTCCAGCACACTGTCATACTCACTCGGGAATGATAAAATGTGATAATCTTCACTTTTGAGCCTATTCTCAAAGTGTCACGAATCCATATTTACAGGTCTTGGCGTTCCTTACAGTTAATTCACAATGAATCTAGGTCATTTGGTCAAATCAACTGCATTACTGTAGCTCTACATTTTAAATTATAAAACGTATGTAGGATAAGATAAAGCAATAATATCATTTTAATTATTATTAAAGCAAAGCAATGAGAACAATTATACTGGTCTGACTAGAAGCCTTTCACTGTAATGGAAATCCATCTAATGGCCAATGTTAGGATTGATTTCTAATAAGTGTGAATGTGAAGAATACTTGTGCATTCAGACTCACAATGTAATATTAAATACTAAACTTACTTTTTTATCTTCCTTAAAGTCAGGAGGAATAACTTGGTTCTGTTGGACCTGTTGAGGGTCAACTCTTTCGGCTGAAACAAAAACAATATTTCTAGATATTTCAATGTCAAATATAATCTTTCCTTAATTAAAAACAACAAACAGTAATTTCAGAGGTTTTTGGTTGTCACTGATGAGTACTAACCAAAACCCCAGAAAATCCCAAAATACAGGCTGACCACAAAAAATGTTACTCTCTAGTTTTGGAATAACATTCTCAATTATGAAAGAATCTTTGTGATTTTTTGTGTAGATAGAAGTGCAATTCATGAAACATTGATGTGTATGTACTTATATAGCATCAACTTGTTAGAGCTTTAGAGATATCACATCTTGATTCACAAGATTCCAGTTGCTTCAACTTCACCTTGATAATCTTAGAATGAATCCACATTGAGCAAACAAAACAAAATTCTAATATTGTTTTCAAAGTAAAGATACCATGTCATGATTCATCATATTTGACAAAATCATTTTAGAAAAATGGGTAGATAATATTACATATAACTGATAATATATACAAGGTGAGCCAAAAAAAGGTAACCCAAACAAATTTTAATAACTCAGTAATCTATAAGTATGGGCTTAAAGTCATATTTGGTATGGTACAATAGAACCATTCAATGTCCTTTCATCCAACTTTAATTCATTCAAGTTTAATTGGTCAATTCCAAATAGTCATGATTTTATGGCCATTTAACAATAAATGCTCAAAATGGGTCTTGTCTTTGGAGGTAAACTTGAAATCATCTTGTTCCAACTCTCTGATGCGTCTAGGGCTGTTAACTTACATATTGTCTTTGAAATACTCTCAGAGGTAAAATTCTGGGGGTTCATATTAGGTGATTTTGATATGTTTCGCCATTTGGAGTATGTTTTGTAAAATGGCCTTGGAAATCGTAACTATTGGTAACACAATTTCAGAAATTTGGATTTTTTTAACATTTTTGGTTGATTTCCCATGAGAACATACCTGATAAGAAAATGCGATTACTCTTAATATATAAAAATCATAAATGCAATCTGTAAGCAGTACACCACTGTTTTCTCCACTGAACACTGTACACAAATAAACTCATAAAGATTCTACTATATTTGCCATAGTTATTCCAAAATTAGAGCATAACTGTTTTTAAGGTCATGTCCTGTATGTCCTGTTGAAGAACTATGATTTTTGTATGTCTATATTTCTGTTTCAAAGTATTGAAATAAGGGTTCTGCAACAGGACATTAACATAAGGTCTTTAGAATTTTTTGGTTGACACTACAGGGTGGTCCAAAAAAAATTGGAACATTTGGTAATTGAACGCAAAACCTTTATTTTTCTCTAAAATGCACCAAAATTTTACTGAGCATAGTTCAGTCACTTATTTATCTGATGTAAAGTTTATAGGTGAAAACCACAAAGTTAATGCATTAAACTAGTCAATGTTTCATAGGACTCCCTTTTCTTAAATATACACTTGTCAATTTTGCCGCTTCTTTTTCAAGTATTCTTTATTTCAAAGCTCTAATGAACATGATGATTGCTATATACATTTTATAAAATCATATTCACTTGACAAGAGGTATTTACATCTCTGGTTTACAAGAAAACTATTTTGTTATTGTCAACCTTGCTGTACAACCTTAAACAGTATGAATGTATTGATCAGGCTTGGTCCAGTAATGGCAAGATCTTTGGAAAGTCCAAATCTGGTAGTATTAGAGTATTTACAGTTGTAGATGACTTATCTCTGCTTGGAGCAAAAGTAGAGTAACTATTTTTGTCAATGTAACCACATTGCCCAACTAACAATTCACTTACAACTTTGAAAACAACAAATTGACAGTTTGATTATACTTATGGAGAGTCATATGTCCATGAACTGTTGAATCTCATAATACAAGTATGCTGCCACTTAAATACGTGCTCATTTAGTTGTCATGAACTATTATTATCACTGAGCATCATTGTGGACCTTTTGTTGTTTGATGATAATGACTATTATTGTTTGATGTGTGACGTAGGTCTTAATGCTTGAATGACTCAATTAGTTAACATTGCTTGACTAAGTTTGACTTAAAGAACTGTTGAATCTCATAATACAAGTATGCTGCCACTTAAATACGTGCTCATTTAGTTGTCATGAACTATTATTATCACTGAGCATCATTGTGGACCTTTTGTTGTTTGATGATAATGACTATTATTTCAACTAGTTAACATTGCTTGACTAAGTTTGACTTAAAGCTAGCTTTGATTGATTAAATGTGATTTAGGTCATCATTTTTTGAATGACACATTTAGTGACTAATGTGTGATCTAGGTCTTAATGTTTGAATGACACATTTAGCTAGGTTTGCTTGATTAAATGTGATTTAGGTCATCATTTTTGAATGACACATTTAGTTAACATTGCCTGACTAATGTGTGATCTAGGTCTTAATGTTTGTAAGACACAATTAGTTAACTTTGCTTGACTAATGTGTGACTTAGGTCTTAATGTTTGAATGACACATTTAGCTAGGTTTGCTTGATTAAATGTGATTTAGGTCATCATTTTTGAATGACACATTTAGTTAACATTGCCTGACTAATGTGTGATCTAGGTCTTAATGTTTGTAAGACACAATTAGTTAACTTTGCTTGACTAATGTGTGACTTAGGTCTTAATGTTTGAATGACACATGTAGCTAGGTTTGCTTGATTAAATGTGATTTAGGTCATCATTTTTGAATGACACATTTAGTTAACATTGGCTGACTAATGTGTGATCTAGGTCTTAATGTTTGTAAGACACAATTAGTTAACTTTGCTTGACTAATGTGTGACTTAGGTCTTAATGTTTGAATGACACATTTAGCTAGGTTTGCTTGATTAAATGTGATTTAGGTCATCATTTTTGATTGACACATTTAGTTAACATTGCCTAACTAATGTGTGATCTAGGTCTTAATGTTTGTAAGACACAATTAGTTAGCATTGCTTGACTAATGTGTGACTTAGGTCTTAATGTTTGAATGACACATTTAGCTAGGTTTGCTTGATTAAATGTGATTTAGGTCATCATTTTTGAATGACACATTTAGTTAACATTGCTTGACTAATGTGTGATTTAGGTCTTAAGGTTTGTAAGACACAATTAGTTAACATTGCTTGACTAATGTGTGACTTAGGTCTTAATGTTTGAATGACACATTTAGCTAGGTTTGCTTGATTAAATGTGATTTAGGTCATCATTTTTGAATGACACATTTAGTTAACATTGCCTAACTAATGTGTGATCTAGGTCTTAATGTTTGTAAGACACAATTAGTTAGCATTGCTTGACTAATGTGTGACTTAGGTTTTAATGTTTGAATGACTCAACTAAAATTGCGTGACTTTTTTTGCTTGAATGACACGATTAATTAACATTGCTTAACTTAGTGAGACATGGGTTTTCAAGTTTGGTAATTTATGGTATCAATCATTATTATACTAAAAGAAAGCTGCCCAACCAAAGTCTTAGCATATTACAACCATACTAAATGCTCCCTATTTTTCTTATAATCTCATGACTGTTTTAACAATGTAAATATAATAATCTTTGGTACCTTAACTATTCTACTGTATAAGAAAGCTACCTAACATGTTTTAGACCATGATTGCCAATGTACATGACTTTGATTGAAGTTAATGATTTCATGGTTTGCATCATTTGATTTCAGAGTTAATAGTTCCAGGACTATTCCATATGTAAGATGCCCAATGCAATTTAGTCTGGGATTTTACTTTTACCTCAATGAGTATTACTAAAAGTAGATTGGCAGACTTTATATGTTATATATTCTTGTATTACTATGCCGACTGTCCTCTGGAAATAAGCATTTTCTTGATATTTAAGAATTTGGAATAACTGAATTTAATATTAACTTGTTACAGCTGCACTGCTGAACATTGCTTGACTAAGTTTGACTTAAAGCTAGCTTTGATTGATTAAATGTGATTTAGGTCATCATTTTTTGAATGACACATTTAGTGACTAATGTGTGATCTAGGTCTTAATGTTTGAATGACACATTTAGCTAGGTTTGCTTGATTAAATGTGATTTAGGTCATCATTTTTGAATGACACATTTAGTTAACATTGCCTGACTAATGTGTGATCTAGGTCTTAATGTTTTTAAGACACAATTAGTTAACTTTGCTTGACTAATGTGTGACTTAGGTCTTAATGTTTGAATGACACATTTAGCTAGGTTTGCTTGATTAAATGTGATTTAGGTCATCATTTTTGAATGACACATTTAGTTAACATTGCCTGACTAATGTGTGATCTAGGTCTTAATGTTTGTAAGACACAATTAGTTAACTTTGCTTGACTAATGTGTGACTTAGGTCTTAATGTTTGAATGACACATGTAGCTAGGTTTGCTTGATTAAATGTGATTTAGGTCATCATTTTTGAATGACACATTTAGTTAACATTGGCTGACTAATGTGTGATCTAGGTCTTAATGTTTGTAAGACACAATTAGTTAACTTTGCTTGACTAATGTGTGACTTAGGTCTTAATGTTTGAATGACACATTTAGCTAGGTTTGCTTGATTAAATGTGATTTAGGTCATCATTTTTGATTGACACATTTAGTTAACATTGCCTAACTAATGTGTGATCTAGGTCTTAATGTTTGTAAGACACAATTAGTTAGCATTGCTTGACTAATGTGTGACTTAGGTCTTAATGTTTGAATGACACATTTAGCTAGGTTTGCTTGATTAAATGTGATTTAGGTCATCATTTTTGAATGACACATTTAGTTAACATTGCTTGACTAATGTGTGATTTAGGTCTTAAGGTTTGTAAGACACAATTAGTTAACATTGCTTGACTAATGTGTGACTTAGGTCTTAATGTTTGAATGACACATTTAGCTAGGTTTGCTTGATTAAATGTGATTTAGGTCATCATTTTTGAATGACACATTTAGTTAACATTGCCTAACTAATGTGTGATCTAGGTCTTAATGTTTGTAAGACACAATTAGTTAGCATTGCTTGACTAAT